CGACAAACGTTAGTTGTAGCTTTTTGACGTATCGATCACGTCTTGAGTTACGACCATGGATGCTACAAAAAAGTTACGTCATCGATCAAATTTCTGCACCAATAATGACAAGTGCAATTTTAGCCCGTGATGAAGTTATAAAACACAATAATGCGTTACGAAAACAAAATAAACCACCAAAGCATGAATTACATTTTAGTTCAAAAAAAGTAATTATTATACTGTATTATATATATTCTAATTAATTATTTTTATGCTTATTATTATTATACATATATATTTTATAAAGAACAAACAACAGACTATAGCTATCTGGCCAGAGAATTGTCAGAAATCAGTTTGCTTTTATCCTCGTTTTTTACACAATAAACAAAAAATCCCCGAAACTCCCAAAAAACCAATAAAACCTCCACTTCACCATGAACAATGACGAAAAAATAATGGATGGCCAAATAAAGAAGAAACTGTGAAATTAGAATCGAAATTATCATATAATAAAAAATTAAAGCAATGGAGTTTTATCTTGACAAAGAAGTCTGCAAAAACCAAACAGACTTTATTCACGTAGCATCTATAGACCCTGGAGTTCGAACCTTTCTTACTACCAAGGCACCGGCAAGGAAATGTAATTCAATGAGATTTATATTTAGTATATATTGTTATTTATTAAATTATATAGTTTATTTAAAATATTCAACCAACTAATTCATTACATTTTATATTCTAACTCAATACTACAGGTACATAAAAAAGTGGCGCTATTTTTAACTCAGACTTTTGACGTAATAATTCTACCAAAATTTAACAGTAAAAAAATATCTCGTCGACAACATAGAAGGATCAACAGTAAAACTGTCAGACAAATGATGTGCAAGTTTTAGAAATCGCTTAATTTCTAAAATGGAAGGATATGAAAAAATCGTAATAACGTCCGTCTCTGAAGTGTATAAAAGTAAACATGCAGCTGGTGTGGTTACATTAAAAAGAATCTAGGGGGAAGTAAGGTGTTCAGATGCGATAGTTGTAAAATAGAGATTAAATGGGCCCGCGGAATTTTTTTCGGGCTTTGCTTGATGTAGTTATACAATCATAGCTACGCTAATTGGTTAATTATGATTTACTATAGCTATAGTTAGTCCGATTCAATCCATCCCGCTGTACATAGCCGAATCTGCATAATTGTTAAGAACGAGTGTACAGCACATCGAATAATTTAAAAGTTACTGTGAAACAATTATGCACTATTATGCATATCTTAATAAATTTATGTAATGTAACAGTATCAAAAAAAAAAAATCACAAAACAAAGGGAAAAATTTGTTTGTATATTTACATATATAGATCATAAAATTATATTTAGAATATAAAGAAACCTATTTAATAATTTAAGTTTACTCTTTTTGGATCAAGCGAATGTAGAGAAGGTATTTTTTTAAAAGTTTTAAATTTCAAACAGGAACAGGGAACAGTGAGTATTTTCGTACAAATTTGTTTATCAAATTTGTTTATCAAATTTGCTTATCAAATTTGCTTATTGTTGTTAAAATGTGATCAATTCATAAATCAATATTTATAAATCGTTTATTGTTCTTTCGGAGGATGTGTTCCATTTTGATTTTATTTTTGTCGATATTTTATCAAATAATTTTTTCATACTGTATTTAATGATGAAAATAATCAAATTAAGTTTTAATTAAAACTCGTCTACGTACTCCTGAATTGTAATCTTGATTTCCTTTTAAAACTAAATCAGGAAGAATAAATTAATTTAATATCCTTAATAATGTTAAAATATGTTAAAATACATGATAATATGTGGTGTACACATACCATAAAATACATGGAGTTGTCTTATACAAAACTTAATTTGTTACATCGCAATGCCCCCCACCTTAGCATTTCATTTATGGGTTTTTTTTGTTTGTTTAGTGTTTCAATTTGATATAAAGCACAACTGACACATCTCCTGTAAATAAGCACATTTAAGAACAAAAACAATGATTGTTATTAATATTTCAATTCCATATAAAGATATAGACGGTATATCGATATATGATATAAGTGACATAAAGGGAAAATCTGGATATTGATTCCTTTTCAGTTTTCGGACTTTACCGCAATTATTACAAATTCACATGTGATCAAATATATATGCAATTGATCGTTCTAGTCGCTTCGATAACACGTATTATCCAAAAATGACGTTATCGTTATGAACGATTCTTATGATTGAAAGTAAAATGAAAGAGAGTAAAATTAAAATATACAGTATGTGCAAACTCTAAAGTTATATTCTTTTATTTTTATTATGTCACGAACAAGAAAGTGTGTAGAATAAGTCTTAAATCTTAATATTTTTTTTTAAGTGTCTTATAAATAAAACACTATACGTAATGATGAACTAAAAAAAAAAAAAAAATTAACATGCTATGCTATATATATTTTACATAATAATATATCTAAAATGAAAAAAAAAAGAGAAACTACATAGTGCAAGACCTAATGGAATAAAATAATTTGAATTGATAATTTGAATAATTTTTTTTTTTTTAGATATATATTTATACAATTACCAGTATTGTAATATATCATAAACTTCTGCTGCAACTTCCGTATTATCTGCTCGAATAGTCGCAAATTTTAGGCTATATAAAGCTGTTTCCGCAGCAATATACTCGCATACGGAGAAATGTTCTTTCGGATTATGTGTTCTTGTGAAAGACATTATTTGTAAATTATCTGATTTATAATATTTATTAATATTTATTATATCTTGTTGATTCTTTTCTTTTTGGTTTAATTGTTGTTGATTCACTATTTCTATATGGTTTTTCTCTGCAATTTGAAATTCTTTTATTATTTCACTTGAAAATCCATCTGAAATTTCTACAAGCCATTCTCCTATTATTTCACATAATTCTTCAGTAGATGGTCGGTCTAATGGTTCATGTTTCCAACATTTTTGCATTAAATTGTAATAACTTTCTGGTATATCCTCTCTAAATTCTGGTCGAAAACCGCTACAAATATCTTTTGATAATGATTTATCATGTAATCTTTCTGAAAATGGTTTTTGACCTGTTGCCAATTCCCACATTATACTACCAAAACTATAAATATCAGCAGCTGTTATGTATGGCTTGCTTTGTAGTATTTCTGGAGCAACATAAGGTAAAACTCCGTAAGCGCTATCAAGAAGTTTTTCCTTGTTAGGAGGACATATTCCGAAATCACCAATAAGTGTCATGTATGCGTTTATAAGTATATTTCGACTATGTAAATTACAATGAATTAATTTTTTTTCATGTATTTGTGAGAGACCGGTGGCAATACCATAAAGGATTTCCAAACGTCGTTCCCATGTAATGTTTGAATTGTTACTAGTCAAATATTTTGTTAAATCACCATTTCGCGCGTATTGCATGACCAACATATAATTTTTTGTTACTGGATCTTGGGTTAAACCATAGCATCGTATTATATGTTTTCCACTATTATTTCCACAACGTAAATGTTGTCGTAACTTTTATTAAAAAAGAAAAGAAATGTAAGAGACGCGAAAATTTTATAAAAACAAAATATATATATAATAATAGAAGAATAATAATAGAATAATTACCTTATCAAAGAAATCATAGGAAATATTATTTGAATTATCAAAGCTTTTTAATGCAACTAAACATTCACCATCACGAACGAATTTACTCATTCGTTTATCCCATTTATCACATGGACCATCGAGCCATATTGAATGAAAAACGGGTCCAAAACGTCCTGAACAAACGTATTGAATATCATATAATCTATCATAAGGAATCCATTCTAAGCAGTTAAAACAACTTGTAGAGTCAAGTTGAGTTTCTAAAATAAAACAATCAATATCATCGTTTCCACTTGTCCATGTACCAAAAGTACTTTCAAATCTTCGTGATTCACAAGTTTTACACCAATAAGCTGAATAACCAACACATGCTATCTTTTTTCCACATTGACAAGTTCCTGGTCCTGGATCTAGTCTTGTGACATCTTTTATGTTTATGGAATCCTTTGGGTCAATTATTGAAATTTGATCCAAATAATTTAAATAAAAAATCATTGGTTTAATTTCATTAAAATAATCCATTGTATTAGATTCGGTTATTAAAGATGAAAATCTTAATACATTTTTGGTTTGAAGGTTGACCTGCGTAACGCTGAAATGAGTAGCATTTTTTCCAAGATCAGATTTATCATCTTTTCTAATAACATGACTATAACCTTGTATAGATCCACCTCTAATTAGACGAGCTGAATGAACACTAAATTGACCATGTCTCGTAAGAATCTCCTTCTTTGCTACTAAAATAGTTGCCGGAGATTCTTCATTAGATTCATCTATAAAATCTAATTTAACTTTTGAATTATTGTCAATCATAGCGAAATCTTTATTATTGATAGATTTATCGGATTGAGTTTGTGACTGATCATCAAAACCAAAAAAAGAAGTCAAAGTTCGTGTAGAATCTATAGTATGACTTCTATTATGAGAAGGAATGAAAGGATCGACCATAGCAAATCGACGTTTATCTACAACAAATATTTTTTGATTTTCATCCATTACTTGGGATTTTCTTAATGCTGGAACAGGAAGACTACGATATTTCTTCTTGTTCATTCGATGAAACTCTTTCAGCTCCAAACCATCATCTTCCCCGGTACTAACAGTCGTTACCTCTTTATTTATTATTATAGGCTCTTCCATTTTGTAATTACGACCCAGCGTTCCAAAATCATTTTCGCCCTGCCGCTTACGACGGCCAATAGCCACATCACTCGCCTAATAAAAAAAAATATAAAAAATATATATATTTATTTATTTATGATTGATTAATTAATTAGATATTTTGTTAAATCAAAGAGAAATCAAACAATAATAAAGTCGTAAAAAAAAAAAAAAAAATTTACCTTAGTAAGCCATTTAAAGAGTTTTGGACAGCGTACCATACGGTAATTCTCAAAAAAAAAGGTATATATATATATATAAATAATAAAAATTATTTATATATATATATTAAAAACTTTATAAAAAATAATCTAGAGGGTTTTGAGGATTTCTCAAAAACCCGTAGGATACGCAACATTCACGAAATAAATAAATTTTTTTGTTTTTTTTTTCTTTCAAAAAATATTCCACATTTTCGAAATATTCGAATATTTATATCAATTGTTGAACACAATTAACTGCATATACATATATTTTATATTATTTTATGCACTTTATGCACTTTATACACTTTATACACTATAATAACGGTAAGCATTTTTTTTTTTTTATACAGTATTAAGTTACATAGTTTTAATACACAGATTTTTTAGTACACAGTTTTTAATACACAGTTTTAATACACAGTTTTAATACACAATACAGTACATAGTTTATTAACGATCATACGTACGTACGTAAAATCCGAAGTTCCTAATTCAGATCATGTCTGCAACAAAGGCGTTTTTTTTCTTACCTAACTTTATACGGAATCTTTTGTCAGAAAATAGATTCGGTTAAAATAACTTTCGAATTTACACATGATCAAAGGTCAAATTTAGCACTTTCAACTATATGCTTAAAAAAAAAAAAAAAGAAAAAAAAAGAAAAATCATATTAACATAGATATATATATTTATTTATTTATTTACTGGACATACTTGAAGATATACAGTATAAACAATGCTGATATCTTGCAGCAATTATTTTTTATTGGTGTTTGAAATAAAAAATGTTTATTATTTTCTTTGGTTATAAAAATGTGCAGCTACTTCTAATGATACATAAACGAATATTTCACTACGGTAATGTTTTGAAGATCATAGTTTGTTTTTATTTTAAACCACATTTTTATATTACGATTCGTTATTAACATTTAACGTTAGTAAGAAAAAAAAAATAACAATAGTAATACGTATTAATAGTATTTAAATTAATAAAAAAAAAGAATTAATTATGAGATTGTCATAATTCAAGTATAATTCTAGCATAATTCAAAGCTTATGATTTATTCGTTACATTTAATCATGAAAATTTTCTGCAGTAAATCGCGTTTCTTATTCAAGTTTCTTATTCAAGTTTTATAAAAAAGCTCATTGAAACGATAGGTCCTGAAACGTAACGGTAGTTTTTTACAGTAAATGGATGACATATTTGTCAAAAAGTATGAACTTACTGTACGTACGTAAGTACGTAATTTATGTATCGACTCATTCTTTCATTGCATCATGTTATCGTCGTATAACTTTAATTTAAAAAAAATAAATTGTTATCTTGGCTCAATACCGATACGTATTGCTGTATTGTGTGATTTTACCTAAATTACCAGTTATCAAATGTTATACGTTGATTGACATGTCGCAATTCAGTAATGATAAGAGTAGTTTAGTGGTGTACAAAGTTAGTAAAGATCATGTCGATGAAGCTTAAATAGAGTGTCAGTAGTTTTAGTATGTATAAATTTACTGCTTTCCCTATCTATAAAAAGGAGGTTGCACAAGTAGACTTGCGTGGTGTAGACGATTGAATAAACATAGTATATACAGTATTAAACTACTCCATTACTTCTAATAAGGGATATATTTGGAGAAAGCTGCAGAGCATGACTGGTACTCCAACATCGACACATCGACACATCCGTGAACAAGATCGAGACCGAATGACAATCTCTATGATGTTCTATGATGTTAAAATGTCACACAAAAATATGCATCAAAGTTAAAGAATACGAGTGAAGAGTGAAAAGTGATGAGATATTGTATATTACAAACAGCATATCAAAAAGAATAATGAAAAATAATGAAAAAACTTGAAACAAATTTTTCGTATGAAAAAGAATGACAATGTAAACGTTAATGATAACGTAACTTTTCTAAAAATAACAAACCAAAGGATGATCATAGATAATATCATGCCATGTATGGTAAATTTTTCATGCATCTAGAAATATTAATAACAAATTAATAATGTCGAAATTTTTAAGAAATGTAAACATTATCGCATGCTTAAGATCAAAAAATCTTTGTTAAGAACCATTAAAATTTCGATGAAAAAAAAACAATTAATTTAAACTAAAAAAATTTATCGTCATAATGTTTGTAAAATTTTTCCTTCTTTTTTTTATTTTAAAGTTTGATTTATATAAATAAATAAATAAATAAATAATTTTATAAATTTGCGAGTATATTACAATTTGATTACTATGACTAATACTATAAAACTAAATACACTATAAATACTATAAAAATAGATACATTATTACTTCTCATTTTCTAATTGTGTATGTAACTTAGATGTTTCGTCAACTTGATCTTGATCTTTATCAAAACTTGTATCTCTAGCCTCAGGTAATACAAGAGGATTAGTACTAGATCCTTCGTGCCTTGTAATTGTAGAACGTCGTGATAATGGTTCTGATGGTGTTACTTCTTCAAAAGTAACTCCATCTCTAACTTCATCTAATGTAGTGTTATTCATTTCTTCGGAATTATTAATAATAGGTGCATTAGGGTCATCTTGAACGTCACTAACATAATTTAAAGTTGATAACCTTCGAATATCTTCAGTTCTTGATTCAATACTGTCATAAGGTGGTGGTAATTCACCAGGAGGAAAAAAGTATCGAGTTAACGCAGTAATGACTCCTTGTTGATCAGAAGGTTCTTCTTCTGCCATCTCAGTGTAAGGAGGAAGGGTTCGTATGCTATTCCCCCTACTTAATCCTCCACCACCTAATACCGATCCTGTCCTACGAACTCTACCACCTACACTTCTATTATCTATATCTGTATCTACTGATGAATTAAACCTTTTAATACAACATCCAATTGCTATCAAAAAGAATATAATCACTATTACGGCAATTACAGCAACTGCTTGGCCTGAATAAGCGGGTGGTCTGTCATATTGTGTATTTGGTGAGTTTGGAAAATGATTTAGATTATTGGGAGGTATCACATTCCAAGGTCGAGCTTGATTGTTTGTCAATATATTAATTATTGACTCATTATCATCAACACAAGTAAATGTCACATTTGATAAAGCTTCTGTAATATTATTGACAATAGTCAAGTTTCCACATATAAAATCAAAACATTGATTTGTAGAATTGCAGCTGGATGGTGATCGATATTTTCTTATACAAATTTGATTTGAACAGAAATTTGGTCCAAAGCAAGAACCTATATAATCTAATGGATTTATAAAAGTACCAGCTGGAATAGTATTATTGTTGTATGAAAAGGTTCCATTATTAGGTACCCAATGATGACGTAAATAATCCAATAACCATGTTTTGTTACTCCACGACCAAGATGAATAATTAAAACTTTCACATTGACCACCAGTTACTCCTTGTTGATTACCTAAATATTCAATGGGTGGAAATACTGTTGAATTTAATCTCCATTTATAACCACCTATGTTTGTTAAATCAGAACAAATAGGTCCGGTTGGTGGAAGATAACATCTCGAGTTGCTGAGATCACAAGTAAAATTTACTCCACATTGTTCATCTAAAATCGTGGTATTTGTGATATTTGTGGTATTCGTGGTTGGATTAGACATTGATATTTTTAAAATAAAGACTTTTTTAGATTATATAACTACATGAATAAAAAACCCCGAAATTGGAAAATTTAATTTACAACTTTTAAAAACTATTAAAGTTAATGTAATCGTTAAAATTATATTTAAAAAAAAAAAAAAAAGAACAAAGAGAAAAAATAACTATCATCAAACAAAAAAGCCTCAAGAAAAAATCCGATTACCCTTTCTTAATATAGTAAATAACCGGCCACTATGATTTGACCACAAAATTTTGAACCAATATATATATACATATTAAGAGGAATTTTTATAAATATTTATGATCAGATCGTTACCCATTGTCATCGTCAAGCCTCTGATTTTCTTAATCAGGTTTTCAAATGATCCCTTGGCATTGATTTTTGTGTACATAAATGATAAATGATAGTAATTGATTGATAGCAACGATAGGAATAATATTCCTTCTTTTTTCTTTTTCTTATTCCGACTTATCCGATGTATGTTTCATTATTTATTTTTCATAAATAACAAAAAAGCAAAACAACAAACATTTTATATTTAAAAATATAATTCTATATTAAGTAAACACGTGTGTACAGTACTTATATACGTACTTAAATTGATGTTAATAAATGCTATTGGAAATCGATTTTGGTATCACCTGAACCTTTAACGTTAGAAAAAATAAAATTAACAACACTGTTTTTCTTTGTTTACTATCATAATTAATTGAAAGAGGTAAATAATAATAATAATAAAACTACTGTAAGATCCAAATATAAATTTGATTCTCGAAAAAAAAAAATTCATCGTGGCTTAGTGATTACCGAATAAGTCTTTTACGTATTCTGTAATTCTGTAATATATATATATATATATATATATATATATATATATATAACATTAATTTATATAACGTTAATTTCTTGGCTGAGCTATCGTTATTTATGAAAAATGTTAATTTTTGTATAGCCTACGTATCATTATCTTTTTTCTTCTATATAACGTTAAAAATGTTTTTTTTCATTATATCTAGATAAATCTTCACTATTACGGCAGAAATTATAACTAGTAAAGTCTATGTTAAACGGAAAAAAACAATCCTTCACATAATATAATATTTATCGACTGTTAAATTTAAGCTGAGTAATTACTTGTATCATGATGAGTTGCAGTAATTCCACTAATAGTAGCTCCGTAGTTGTGAGTTGTAATTGTTGTGCGACGAAGGCTTGGATTTTTATGAACAATGACATTAATATTAGGTGTGATGAATATTGGTTCTGCTGCTGTGCCTAGCTCGATAGCAAGTTCCTATAATTTAAAGTTTATTAATTAACATATATCGATATATATAATCATTTATTAACTATTCACAATTTACCAATTTCACAGGTTGTAAGACACTTATGTTAGAGCGAATTCGATTTAATAAAGAACTGTCTTCATTGGTTTCGTGAATTACACTCAGCTTCCAATTAAGATTCTTAACATTATCTTCTCGGTTAAATTTCTGTATTAATCCCATCAGTGCAGATAATTGCTAAATCGTTCAATACATGTAACATACATAATAAATAATTTCAAAATTTTTATTAACAAATTGTTATTAACAAAAATTGTTATCTCTTTTTTCAATCTTACGTATCTTCTTTTTTTTCATTTATTATCATAAATAGAAAAAGAATCGTGCTCACCGATCTTGGTCTTAAGGCATAGTTAACAAAATTGATTAAAAAGAACCCTAGAATTCCAATAAGGCATCCTACGCCAAAGAAATATCCATCGACTGTTAATTTAGCCACTATAGGAATTCCTATTAAAATTATCACTGGTAATACGTATTTTACGAATTTTCCTTCTATATAAAGTCTAGATGTTGTATTAAATTGGTTGACTCGATCGTTAAATTGAGTGATAGTAAACTATTTTTGTAAATTAATAAATAAATTTGTTCCTAAAAGTGAAAAACTTAAAAATAATAATTTTTTATATTTTTTACTTACATATCCTTGATAAGTTGTTGGTGAATAATCTGCTCTAACTAGTCCGTTAATTAATGGAAGTTTTATAGTTCGAACCATTTTGTCCTTTTCTATCTATATACTTGACTTATTTTTTTTCCTAAATTAAAGAAGAAGAAAAAATCAAATACGTACAAAAAAAAAAAAAAAAAAAATTAAATGCTAATTGATTTATACGAATTTAAGATTAATACGTAAGATATACAAGAATAAAGAATAAAACGTATGCCGATACGCCATACGTATTATATATTGTATTACTATATATGTATGTTATATATATCAAAATGGAAGAGTCATTGATATAACTATATATGTGTATATCAAAGTTGTAAGATTCATTAATGTAACTATACACATCCTTGAAACTTACAATTTACGCGACTAATGATCTTCTGCAGATTTCAATCATCCTTTGTCATTAACACCGGCTAATTCTTAATATGTTGATTACCTTTGGTTCATAATTTATTAAAAAATGTCATTACCTTGACTAAAAATAACTATTCTTTAATTATTTTTATTGAATTAAATTATTACATATATCGAATGAAACGGTTTAAACGGTTTTATTTCTTTTTATTTCTTAAATGGCTTTAACACCACTACTACCAATTACTATCAACTACTACACTATCACTACGTACTTTATTTTTGTAAGAACAATGTAAAAAAATGAATAGTTTATCGTGTCTTATTTTAACTTCCTCAATTAGGTTATGCAAGTGCCGGGTACGGTACTATTAAAGCTTAGTGCCGGGTATGGGCACGGGCTCTGAAAAGTGAAAGGGGTATTTCATTATAGAAAAGATATGGTAATGTACAGTTAAGCAGTAATCTAATTCGATGTTCAGAAAGAATCGAATAAAAGTCGCTAGGTTCTGATCACTAAAATTACGAAATATTATATTTACTACACATCACTTCCATCTTTGTCATTATACCCTCCTTTTGTCTTACGTAATAAATAAAATTCGGATTCGGTTCATTTTTGATTTGCAATTCGGATTATCTACAATAGAATAACCCATAGTGCCAATTAATAGTAATTGTCTTTTTTATTTGATTTTCTTTTTAATTAAATAAACCTTATTCCATGTTAAGCAATGCTAACTTTAATTGTCAACTAACAGTTTGCACAAAATTTGTACATTGTACAATTAACTCTGTCTAAACCGAACCTGGATATAATAAAGATTAATAAATAAACTTTATTTTTTTTTATTAAGTTTCGGTTTAAAAAATCTTTATATTAAGTTTCGGTTTAAAAATATAATGATAATAAAGTTTTTTTTAAGCTATCCTTTCTTCTCATATCAAATGATGCCATTAAACAAAATTGGACTTTTAAATGAGTACCTTTGAATTTGACATTTCTAGGCATTAGACTTTGGACCGTGTTCTAACTCATAAATTTGATTGGTTAAAATTAAATATTAAAATTAAATATTAAAATTAGGATTTTGTTAAATATAGCAGGTTGCTATATTGCAGGTTAATATAAATAACCAAGTAAATTACAGGAAAAAAATTAAGAAAAATTAAGAAAAAAATTAAATATTTCAAATATTTCAATATTTTACTATGTAAACCAATACTAAGTTTTTATTTTAGAATCTAATTTTGCATATAAATACACTTTTTAATCTTAACTTTAATTTTTATTTTTAATTAATAATAATTCTTTTTTTAAGATTTATATAATTCGATCTTTTAGATTAGTAATAGTAATAAATTTTTATTATAGAAATTTATCAACTTTGCAAAGTTATCCAACTTTGAGTAATAATATTTTAACAGTTATTTATTTATTTTAGTCAAAGCCAAAATGCTTTTTATTAAGATTTTGGATTTTAATTAGTATTACCATATTGGTTAATCTTTAGTATAGATGGATACATAAAATTATTATAAAATTGTAATATATAAAAATTAGCTATTTTGATCTAAATTAAGCAAATTTATAAATAGTTAGAGTTAGTGTGAGGGTTAGAGTTTAAATGCATAATTATTAGAGTAATCGAGATTATGTGTATTATTCTGTTAACCGTGTGTTCGATCTTCCTTCCTATTCTACTGTATTGCCTCTTCCCACTTTATCAATAAACGATTATATTATTCATCCTTTACCCGATTTTGATACATTCCATTATCAATCACTAAAATGCACTAATAACATATGATAAATTGTTACAACAATGAAGCCATGGAATATTCCAACCACACGAAAATGATGTACCTATTACTTATTACCAAAATTTACCGTGATATCGGTCTTCAATCTTTTACGGTCGGGTCTTGGTCTCTAAGAAAACCAAACCATCCGTACTTACACGTAACATATCAATTAGCCTTTATTTAACTACTTTTAGATTTAAATTCTATATATGATTATCATAGTAAGGAATATTTGTTTCTAAGTAAAGTTCACGGAGCTGTTGATTATTTTGCACAATAAGTAAAAGCGTTCTTCAGAGCTAGAAATGGCCTTTATGGTAGTTTTTTAATAGTGAAATTTTACATTCCCTAAAAGTATGAATTCACATTAGTCAAACTAATTAAGTACCATATTGTCACGAAGTAACAAACATGGGCGTTATTTAGAAAATCGTGTCCTCTTAAAATGATATGCATGGTTTCGAAATAACGCTCATGCAAAAATAATGCCCTGCGCGTACTCTAAATAGCACGCATATACTCAGACCAACGTTTATACAAAATAAAACACTTAAAGATGTCATCAACTATGAGGATGTTAAAGATTAAGTCAATATTTTTTATCTGATCTAAGTACAATGCGAAAGAACTTTCGATTTTAAATTATAATACATCTATGAATTGAACGATTATTCGCATAAAATTTTCTAATAATTCTGGATGAATTTCTGTAACGCATAGGGTTTACTAATTTTTCACTATCGGAGTACCATAAAAATTGATTAAATAACAAAGATACCCCGATATGTGAATAATTAGTAGAACCAATCGGAAGTGTAGGGAGAAATTAGTAAGCTCTAACGCACAACATTTAAGAAAAACTGATTATGCATCATAGACTTTCAAAGCAGCGTTTGATTCTTTTGATCATAGTTTAAATAAAGTGATTGATAGAATTTTTCGTAAAGCATAATATAAAATACTAAATTTCTTTTTTCCTTACAACTTTAGATGAGATTTTAGGCATATTACATAAAAAAAGATTTAATAATTTAAAATTTTACTGTCATGCCACAACTCCAACTAAAATTATACAAACTTTCTTTACAGTATTACTGATGATTATCTCGTAGCATCTGAAACATCATTTGTCGAAACGCAATTGTAATTGAGAATAATGACTCCTTTGGGGCTAATAAGTTCACTATCTAGAAGTAAGAATTGATTCCATTTTAGAAATCAATAATAAGTACTATAGATATGAATTAGATTCAAAATAAGGCCACTCATGTATTAAATTTATTATTTATAAGTAAATTCATTATATTTTCTTTAATACAATTTAGAAAGCCTACATGTGATTCATTTAATATATTGTTTTTTTTCGACGACAACGACAACGATAACAGATTTCAAGATTTAAATCATTTTGAAATTTAGTAACAGTAAATGCTTAACCTTTTCAATATAAGTTAAAAAAAAAAACCTGCTCCGTGCAATGTTCATTGTATTAAGGATTCTGCTTCAGGGAATGCTTGCATACGTAAATCAAATATTTTTACATCTGATTCAGGTGTTTGCACTGGTACATTGGATTCTGTCATTAGCTATAATATGGGATTAGTGATTGGACCCGTCCCCATGAGCCACCCGGGTAGAAACCGGGTGGGTTAACAAGAGCAACCCGTCGGGTAGACTCATGAGTCACCCGGGTGAAAATAGATGTCCCCCGTTATTATGCATACCCGTATATACAAAGTAATAGTTATATCCTTGGTAGTTTGTTTTTAAAGTCTAGCATTAAAAATAAAATAGTAATTTTTTTTGGATCGGGTAGAAATTTACTAAGAATTCATTGTTTATTATGCTTGATATGTAAAAAATGTAAAAATAATACTTGAGCATCCTTTATCAATGGTGAACTTTTGAATAAAAAAAGATGGATTCTATCTCAGTGAAATGGTAACGTTTAAAAATTTACCTTCGATCCATTGAGTGGATGATTGAGAACACCCATAGTCTAATAAAATCCGTTTTTGAAAAGTTTTTTTTTTAAAAAAAATATACATACAAATACATATTTGGGTAAGGTCTTGCCCATCGGGTGACCCACCCGTTTCCACTCGGGTGGCCAAAACTCCACCGGGTTACCCGCCCACCCGAGTGGTCCAATCACTATATGGGATCTTTGCTAGAAAATCACCCTTCGAGATTTTTCCGATTAGGCTAATTTGGAAAAAGTTAGACCAGAATATCTGTTTTTATTCATGTGTAAATCACCTTTTACTTTATTGATTCGATAGTTTATTAAATAAACTGTCGAGTCGATAAAGTAAAAGATGAATGAGAACCGGTATTCTGGTCTAAGCTTTTCTGAATTAGCCCGATCAGAAAATCTCGACCAACCTATCTTAGATTATAAAAAAAAACAATTCATCGAATTCTATAGGTTATCTTCATTCAAAGTTTTAAAGTTTTAAACATCCCTTGCGCTCTAAGTTCGCAGCGTTATGCATTTATTTAGTTTTTCGGCATAGAATAGAATAAAAAATCTCAGAATTACAAGATACACATAAGCGAGATAATAAGCTCCGGACACAATACTAAACAGCACTACACGTATCTATTGAAATATATATATGAGTGTCGCCAAAGAAAACCCGACAATTTAAATATAGTCTATATTTAAATTGTCGGGTTTTCTTTTGGCGACACTCATATAATATCGTGCACAACGCGCACCAAATTTTGACTTTCCAAACAATAACAGATAACAGATAAAGTCAACTTCCCCTGGATCGCCACCAAAATACTAATAAAATTTTTTCGATCACGTGAAACTATCCAATAATAAATCACGCCTTGGTGTAACGTAACACAATCAGGAAGATCCGAAACAAACGTTCGTTTTCAAAAATTCTCCTCTAACTCAAAAATTTACATAAGAAATCACCTTCTGTGCATTAACAAAAAGTTTTTCTTGAGCGATTTTGCTATTAAAAACACATAAACCCTAACCTTAGCACAGACCCTAACCCTAATCTAAACGAACTTAACGATTTTTGTACGATCACGTGATCGAAAAAAAATTGGTGGCGATGCTGGGGAAGATGAGGCCACTATATAATATCACGTGAATTTTAAATTGGTAATCAATTTAAAAAACTATCTGGCTTTAGACGACCTCCCACTGGGACCACTATGCTGTAGTTTATTCAATAACTTATATATACAATATATATAGTCGAATTTATATATAGTCGAATTTATACAGTACAACGAATCTCTCTACAATGAACTTTTTTTTCTTTCATAACGTCAGCTCATTATAGAAAGGGGTTGTTATATTTATTTGGGATAATTAAAATAACGTTAAAAAACTATTTAAAGAAATAAGCAAATTATTCCTTGCGAAATGAAGTTATTTAAAGAACTTTTGGCGGATTGACTAAATTTTCTAGAAAATTATTGCGTAATTATTAGGATAAAATTGAAGTAAAATCATTAAATAAAAAAAAAATCCATTTTTGACTTTTGTGCAGTGCAAAGGAAAAGTTGACTTTATAACAGATCATAATTATTGTTAATACTGTTGGTATTACGTAACATAATTGTCATCGGAACTATCCCATAATCATCCGGAGCACAACCTTGCACACATTCACGGTATGTTCTAAGTTAATTTTTTTTATCAATGCTGACTGAAATTTGAAATTGGCATTTTGGCAGAGTTATTATAAATTAATTTCAATTAGTCGAAATGATTGAGCAAATCTCGTTCACTATTGAAAAGATATACGAATTATTTGATTTGATAATATATAAAAAATATAGATCGTAGAATGAATTCAGTTATTAAAACTTAAAATTGTCATATATATAATGCAAAGAAATATTGAAACATTAATTTGAAAGCGTTTCGTAGCTTTTCCATTATTATATATTTATTGTCCGGAGCGTAGCGGAGGACCCTTAGCTTTTACGCAAAGCGATACAAAATTACATTTTTGATGCATTATAAATAAATGGCAGAATATGCTGATACTGATATTTGAAGTCCGTTTAAATCTATAATATCTAATAAAAACCATACATGCTCTATATCCACAAAAATTTAAAATTAAATAACAAAATTGAACAAAATTTAGCAACAACCAATTTCTGATTCAGCTGCCACAATAAATAATCTAACCTTGAACCTGGGTTAAATGGTTGATATTATCTATATTACTATATAAAATGTTCAAATATTATATAAATTATAATCATGTAAAAAATTGCAATATGCAAAGTAGAGAGGTATACGAAATTTTTTTTTTAATCATTATGGCAAGTAAATTGTCTGAGATTGCATAATTTCCATTTTGCATATCCAGTTAGTGTGGTTATTCGAGTTGTTCAAGTTGCTCGTTATTTTTTACAATTCCACTACGGCCAATCTTAAAACAACCCAAATTTTTATCTTTAAACTTCCCATTTTTATGTAATATACATAATACTATTGCAGTAACAATAAATGAGCAAAATACGAAAGCAGTGATAGAGCAACCGATAATCGTTTTAAGATTATTTTCGTTTCCATGATTACTTCCATTTCCTGCACTGTTATTCTGACAGTCAGATCTACCAGGAATGAAAGTAGATTCCCAAGTTAAGCACGGAATGTATAATAAATAGACGTTTGAACTGGTTTCATTTGAATCAGTTATGTCATTTGTTATATTTCCTATATTCAAAAAAAAGAGAATGTTAATTCTGCCAACATTTTGATAAACATAAAATAAAAATAATAATAATGATAATAACCAAAAGCAACTATCATATAATCCGAATAAACGTTGGCACTATGAAAAGATAATGGAGGTGGTTTATTTATTCCAGAAGTATTTAATTCAGAATATTGAAAAGGTTCTGATTGAATATCTAATTTTAAAAAACTTGGATAAACGGTTGTTTGATTTAATTCATAACTTGAAGTTCCACCCATTATTATAATTGAACTATTATCTGGTGTTAATACTGCTGTATGACCGACTCGAGGTTGAATTGAAATTGAAGAGATTGCAGTCTATAAAATAATATAATATAAGTATATGTGCATAGTACGTATATGTGAATACTATATTAGGATTAATTGTAAAGAAAATGCATACATGATTTGACCAGGATAAAGAATTTGTATCGAAGATTTGGATCTACAATATAATTTTAAATACAGTAACAAATAAATACACAGTATAATAAATAATAATAACATTATAATAATACATTACCTCCGTCATGTTGATTAAATTAGTTTGACTTCCAGGAGCATCCTGAGAGACACCTCCAATATAAATAATTTTTCCATTCGGAAGCAATATTGCAGCGCTATGGCTTCGGGGTGAAGGTTTATTTGGTGCTATTATTGGATTCCAAGATAATAAGATTGTATCAAATTGATATAAATCATTATATAATATAAGGGTGTTTGACGCCATATCCAGTTCTACCCTTCCACCAAATATATATATCGTTCCATTAGGCTTTATCACTGTTGAAGTTGACCTACGTCTTGAAGGTTGAATTCCTTTAACTCCTTGCCCAAGTTTTGTCCAAACTTTGGGCACAGTTTTATAAATATAAATAAATTGATCCGTAGCATTCCAATTTATTAATTGAGTTGATAAGTTCCAATTTATGGTTGTTAAATTTACTTGTGTTCCACCGATCAAGTATATTGTAGATTGATCAGATCCCCCGAGTATCGCAGTACCTAATTCAAATATTAATTATGAATATGCAAGTTGCAAGTAGAATGCTTGTAATTAAAATTTTGAATAAATAATTCAAAATCGATATCAACCTTTTTCGTTTCCATAAAACATTCGTGAAGTACCATTGGTAAGATCTATAAATGGAGGATTTTCAATATCGAATTGTGATGAAAGGTCTAAATAAAACACTTCATCTGATAAGTTATATTTTTTCGGATTTGAGAATGGGACTAGACGAGATCCTCCCATAAAGTATAATTTCTCTTTTACTTGCACTGACTCTTGTCCACCACGGCCCTCGGGACGACCATCAGGAAAACAACATATTTGAAAAATAGCACTTAAGAAAATGAAAGAAATTAAAAAAATTCTCATTACTATTGTAAGTTTTATTTTTCTTTAACTTTCAAATATTAAAAATAAACTTAAAGCTATATTAAATTAGAGCAAAAGGTGTTATGCTCCTTTTTACTGTTATAATATATTAATATTTCGGAATTTAATTCCCGATTTAACAATGTACATATGCTTGTGTATTGAAAATGAAACTTCTATCTGACTGCTAACGTACGTACGTGCGTGATAAGTATTTTATTTTCAAATTTAGAATATTTAGAATGTAACAATGCGTTCTTTAGCTTTATATTTTTACACCTTATTAGGTAAATCATTGTCTTAAATCGCGAATTTTTCTTTTCTTTTTTCTCGATATTTTTTGGTTAGTCTATAAATTTATGGTTATACATATGGGCTGATTTTGTTTTTTGGGCCTTTTAGATTACAATTACACGAAATTTGGCTCTTAAGTAACGTTGAAAAAAGTAATAAACGATGATTAATTGGTTCTAACTGTCCAAGGGTGAATTCGGAAGCAATTTTTCAAAAACGGCCTTTTAATTTACTTTTGATCTATAATAAATTACATAAATATCGCAATTTTCTACGTAGTTGATTAGAAATACAAGGCTAGTTAAAAGGCCGTTTTTATGAAAATTCGTTTTGTAATAAATGTAATAAATTTTACGTACAAAATGGGTTGATAATCCTCAATTATGATTGGTTGATTTTGGGGTCAAAACAAAACCAGCCATATCAGTTACACGGGTGTGAACCAACGTAATTATTTTGCGACACAAGCGACCATAGAATTTACTATAAAACGTAAAAAAAACTTTTTCTATGGTTTCGGAATTTTATGAATTCCGAATATATTCCGAATCCACTTAAGTAGATTTTTGATCGATCTCTAAATGGAATTTAAGAATGGGTAAGCAAAATAAATCTTGATAGCGAGAAACATACAGTACAATGATTTAAAAACATCGTATTATTATTTAATGATTTTCTTCTATTAAAATTATTTGGATGGCTGTCATCTCAAAAGATTTAATCTGAGCGTCTACTTTACAAGATTTATTTGCACTCTCTCCTACGATGATGTCATATGACTTACATGTATATGAAGTGTCATATATTAATAATTATATGACATAATTCTATATCATATGACATACCATATGACATTATGATATTATCATTGTCCAACATTGCCAGATATGTCCGTATTCTGTAGATTCTCGCAAATTAGTAAATTTAAATCTTAATATTCAGTCTGCCTCAATGGTATAATTTCTTTACATCGTAGGCAGTATTAAATCTGTTTTGCATTATAAAAAGATATGTTTTGATTTGTAGTACCGTAAAAGTGTGTATACAAGGCCAGATGGTGACGAGCTGTTTTTGCAATGACAAATTGGTTACGTTAATGGTTTCGTCCGATGAAATTTTGCCGATTGACGAAACTCCTGATGGTTGACGAATTAATTTGAGTAAAATATAAAAATACAGTCGCCTCACTTTAACAAGCTTCTTATAACAATCTCTAAACATTATGAATCTTAAATTTTTTTCAAATTTAGTTATTTCATCATAAAGTTCCATTGGTCATATGATAATACAGTGATTTTTTGACAATGAACCTTTTTCTACCAAATCGTTGGTCCGTTGTAAAAAAAAAATTAACTCTACAAAAATTAGCAATCTCGTTAATTTTTACTTTACATTAAATCTAAAGCTAGTGACTTTGTTTATTAGTGGTAATTTTCCTCAGACATGTTAATTAATATAACCATCGGGTTCGAGTAATGTTGAGTTGACAAAATTTATTGCATATATCGTTTAACTTTTCAATGATTCCTAAAAGATAAGTTAATTTTCTTATATTTATTAACCTAAATGCTACGATATATATCACAAATAAATTTTATAATTCGTCATAGCTGATAGGTTTCGCTGTTCGTTATTCCGCCAATTTGAAATTGCCTGACGAAGTGGTATCATCATTCGTCACCATCATTGGATACATTTCACCAATTATAAAATCTTTAAAGGATCCGGGTATAGTATACGACTGAGATGCATATACGCTTCGTATGTATCTATAATAGACAGCCCAACTCGTGTTCCGATGATTTCCAATTGATTAGTCAATCAAACCAAGAAATCAATACAGATTAGCCCGACTAGACGGAATTGAACTAGTTGATAATTAATCGATTAGTTGTTTTAAATTTTAAAATCGATTAGTTGGGAAGTTGTCAATTAGTTGATTTTTCACTAACGATTTGGAACACCAAGTCCAGCGATTTGAAAAAAAACGCATTTTATTAATAGGGATTCCGTGATTTGCAGCTGGGTTTAATTCATGGTGGGACCACTATTATGGGTCTTGTATGCGACGTTAATTCCTCAAAACTTGGCAAATCGATAAGTGATTTATTTTCAAGAAATTTATTAAATCATTAAATACTTGTCATAAAAAAAAGAAAATTCTTCTCAGGCTGACATTTTGAGTCAATAACTTTGCGAAGTAGTATTGCTGGCTGCAATTACTTATCGAAAATATATATGTTTTTTGGTTGTAGGCTGTTTTAAGATCAAAAATCAACTTAACATTGATTTCGAATTCGAAATTCACAAATAAGATATATTCTCAAGCGTCTTCTCCTGCGACTTGCATCCGGAAATGTGTACCAGGTTTGTGCGACACTGGCTAGATAGTATTTGAGTAACGGTAAATGAATATCAATCTTCAAATTTATAATTTTAGTTCCGATACGTGTTTTAAATTATGTTGCACAAAAACATTTAATCTATTAAAGTCGTTTTTTATAGATATTACGTTTTATAAATTTTATTTTCTTATGCATTTTCTTTGTTGTATGAGAAATATGAACTTCTGCTTCAAATCTTTTCTATTTGAAAAGAATTTATAACATAATAAAGAATCGCACCTTTATGAACTTTTTAAAGTGTTTAATATTAACGAGAATTGATTTTAGTCGTAGAATTGGTATAAAGAATCCGGAAGCGCATTCCACAATTTAAACTATATTTGCGAATTTGTATGTTATTCAGAAACACTTCGTTATTTTGCGTACAATATAAATGACAAGTCAACGATAACAATATTATTATGGACATATAAAAATTATTCTTATCTACAGAGAATTTAGTTCCTATCCACTGTGGCGCACTAACCTGGCACTGTACACATTTTCCGGATACCTATGGCTTATAGAATGATCTAATTGGCTAAGAATGTTCAGAGGCAAAATTCTAACTAGCCGAAGATCTAATAAACTAGGTCAACAGAATCTGTTAATGTCCGGAGCTTATATAAAATTATCGTTATCATTATCAGATATATACTAAAATATATACGAATATATCACGTGAAAAACATCCGGACATTTTGATCAAAGTAAGTCTAGTACCCAATCATAGTTTAATGAATATATCACGTGAAGAACATCCGGACATTTTGATCAAAGTAAGTCTAGTATCATAGACAGAAATTCGTTTGATTGGCTGATGTAAATCAATTGCCCGGGTAACTTATTTATACACTTTAAAGTACTT